CACAGTAAGGAGAAGCCATTGCAGCATGACCCTCAATTTAGGGAAGGCCTGACTTTCCCCCTCCCCGCTCCCAGACTTCCAATACACGACTTTCGAACAGTGTTTAGACGCGTGAAGTTTCTTGGTAGGTGAGGAAACGAAACGTTGGAGAGTGCATATAGGTCTGGTCCTACGCTCTCCTCCCCCCACCCACGTGCATCAGTCGCGTATCAGTGACAAGGCCACTACAGGACAGTTGACTGGCGTGTGTAAGGGGGAGAGGGAGAAAGGGCGAGGTCTACATTCTTCTATTCTACTCACACATCAGCCGACTCCTCACTGATAATAAAGCTGACAGGCTTTTAAGCTATCACGAAGCGCTAAAAGCTGTGGCTTGGAAGGCTGCTCACTGATGGGATAACTCAGTCCTCATTTAAAAGAAGACGATGTGACCACTGCTTCCTGTAACTCGCATATTCAATTCTGTTGTCAATCCACATTGGAGTAATTAGGAATGACAGGAGGACGGAGAGGCAGGCTGCGATGGCTCCTTTTCTTACCACGACCTTCATAGCACCCGCACTAATATTGGGTTCGAGCTGCCCGCACAGAAGCCCGTTGCATATAGTGGGCCCTAGTTTGTGTGTGGCACGTGTAGACTGGTTGTTTGGTTTTTTCTGTTAGGGCCCAGCTTAACTGAAAGTGCACGCCGCCCTAACGAGGCGTGTTCTTCCTTGGAGGCACACACGATGAGTAGCTAGACGGCGATAACGCAGTTTTGGCCCCCGTTACAAAATTTTCAGCCGTTGTGCGCGTCCAACTCCGGCCGTCTTGCCATCGAAACAAGGTGAGTACGCGAGGAGAGTGTGTGGTAGATGCTGAGCAGGTCTGCTCTCGTTTCAGACAGGTCAGACACGTGCAGGTTTTTGTTCCTGCATCTACTCTATGGGCAGGCAGTTGACTTCGTCACTTACGAAGTTCGAATTGTCACAATTGGGAGGCGGACAGGTAGAGTGAATGTGTTTAACTACTACTGTTAATATGTAGGGCACCCATCTGCGACTAAAGCGGCTAAGCATACACCCCTGTTTCATAGATTATTTTACTGTTAAAGGAATCACCTCATGGCTTATATTGTCTCCAAGTGGTCGAAAATTCCTCCTTGTTTCAGTCGAGTGGGTCTATGACCTAGCTTATATTGACCCCGCGGCTCATCCCGAAAATTTAAAAAGTTAACCGATGGACGATGTGGTCTCAACATCAATCCCCTTGAATTTAGAATTTATTTCTGTATTTATGTTTTCCGGATTTAAATAAACAGAAGTGATCTCATGTGATTGACTCAACAGCCACTTCAAAAAGAAAGTCGCGTTAAGAATAAGTTCCCTTTTAAACTACTGACGCCTTTAAGTTACTGTGACATGTTAATGTTCGCAGTTTTGGACTTTGATAATTGAGCGGTAATCTGGGCCACCTCTGAGAGCTAAGTTCAGGTTCCTTGTAAGGTGTTCTTTACCAGCTCACCCATTTATCGGACGCTGCTAACAAATAGGGACATATTCTAGAAATGGCGTTTAAAAATTGGCTCTGGGCATTCCTGTCAGACAAAGCGATTCTTGTTGGAAATAACAGAACCTGGTTTACTTTAAACAGAACAACCAAATCTGTTGTAACTAGCTATCTTCACATTAGAACTATCAACTGCCTAGCTTTGCAACAAAGCGGCTGCGCTTTCGCCTAGCCTTGAGCACGTAGGTGAGTGGTGCTCACATGTTTAAAGAGTCCACCGTCTCGCGCATCTAGAAGAGCGATTTTGATATCGAGTTAACCCGAAATAACCAGTCGGAATTGTCCATCAGTAGACCCTAACATATCGAGCTCTTTCGGTTCATTCGAATACGAAAGAGTTTTTGGTTCATTAATTTGTCACTCCACCCGATGGAGTCAGTTTGCACCTTCATTTGTGACACCCGAGTTAGCTTTCTGTAGTC